GTCCATTAGCTCAGGCTTCTTATTAACTCTTATAGCTTATATTAGCCCATTATTCTTTTCTATGGTACCTTTTTTGGTGAGGCAGTTACATCTTGCTTGCTCTGTGGCCAGATCTCTCCTGTTCTCATTTCCCACTTCTACTTCCTGTCTGGTTGTCCCACCTATACTGCCTGCCTGTCTGCTGACCAATCAGTTTTATTACAATACAATTGACAGGCTGCAAACCATTGTCCCACACTAAGAATTCAGAACTGAGCTTTTTGGCACCTTAGTTTGAGATTCTTGGAGAGGGGGAGGGAAGGGGAGAGGACTTTCTGGATCAACTTAAAGTGAGCTGGAGGTTCCATCCAAACCCTAGCTTCTAACAGTTCATTTGCATTTTAATTAAGTTTTAATTTTCAATTACTGTTTCATAGGTTTGATGTAATTTCAAACTCTCGATCAGATTTGTAATTTACTGGAATGTTTCTTCTACCTGGATTGTATGTGTTCTCAGATGCCATTTCTATATTCATTTCAATAACTGATTGCATTTGAGAAACAAGAGACTACAAAAGTACAAATTTAAAACAGAAATTACTGAAATAAGACCACTTACATTCAAGTCTTATTTATTCCATTTGTAGCTGTGTAAATCTCAGCAAGTAATTTACTCTTTAGAGGTTCCATTCCTCATCAACAAAGTGGGCATAATTACAGCATATGTCAAAAGAAATATCATATTTAATGAAGTTAGTTTAGAAATAGACTATATGTGATACCTAGTTACACTCACTAGATATTAGCTATTATGGCCCTTTGCTAGGTGTAGTGTTCTATTTTCCAGGTAACTAAAATCAAAACAGACTTGACCCATTCACTGAAAGAACTTAAGACCTGATATTTTGTCAAGCCTAGCACTTATCTTTGGTCTCTAATGAGTATCAGAGTACACATAAGTATATGTAGCATTTAAATCTGTGATATGGTTTTATAAGTTTATTTAGCACTAAATATAATGAAGTGCTAAATTTATTATATTTATATAATGAATTTATATATTTATATATTATATTTTTATATAAAACACATATAATTTATATATTTATATATTATATAAATAAATATATATATTATATTCACTGAGATGGCTCAGAATATAAAGCTGCCAGCCACTCAAGCCTGTAGACCTGGGTGCTATTTTTGGATGCCACATAAACATAGGTGAGAAACAACTCCACAAAGTTGTCCTTACCTCACGTCCCCATCATAGTACACATGATACACACATACACCATTTAAATTAGTATGTGTGTAATGCTGAAACTATAGTAAAATGAATTTTTCTGGCTTTTTTTCTTAGCATTGTACTTTAAGGGCTGTAAGAATGAATAGGTATGTAGAAGTGCTACAGGGTCGAGGGTGAAAGATGAAATGACAAGGCAAAAAATGAATTCCTTTCCTAGGGCTGTTATTATATTAGGAGTGAATATAGTGTGCAATAGATGGGAATAAAAATGACTCCATAGAATACAGCTCATAGCAGGGAAGCTACAGTGGTCACATTGTTGTTGACATGGTCCACATCACCTCATGATTCTACCATGGCAAATTTAAAGGCCTGGCAGTAGAGTCTGGTTATTGTTCCATAATAATTAGAACTAAGATTTCTCAACAGGAGACTGTTACACTATAAAGAGGTATTTTTGTTTTTAGTTCCTGTGTTGAGGATGCAGATGTTTTCAATACTTTGAACAATTAATAGCTATCTTAATTTTTTTATTTTTCTGGAGCTACCTAGGCTCAGTTCTGTAGTTAGTTCCGTTAATATACAGTACCTTTGACTCTCATTTTTTAAAAATGTTTGAATCTAATAATTCTGAGAAATCCAAAGTTTCGTGAAACAGGAATGTTGGCTAAAACAGTTCAAAGGTATGCAGGTTAGAAATATTAAGTATTTAAGGATAAATGGGAATTAAGATTGCAGGGTTTATTCTCCAACTATAGCAGGAAAATTAAAGGTAAATTACATAGCAAAGTTGAGAATATGGCATGTATAAGAATTCTAGTCCTTGCAAGTTTGTAAGTTGCCTGGTATGTTTATAACTACAATACTGTAGCCAAAGCACAGGAGACTCCAGAATGTGTATTTATAAACTGATTCCCCAATAGATAACTGCACTATTCTGGAATGCAGTTGCTATGTCAATAGCTGTAGTCTTATTGTTTTAGAATTTTTTCCATCTTTCAACCTAATTAATGTCTCTAACGTGATTTGCAAAGAATTTCATATTTATATTTTGCAATCAGAGTTTGACTGGCACACAGTTTTTAGACATTCACTACAATGTGTAAACATTTTGTAAAATAATAAATAGCTCTTTCTAATCTAAATGTTTTATGACTGCTGAGTCCCTGCTAATTGGTCATAGATTGAAATGCCCCCATTCTCTAATTTTTTAGTTTGTGGGAAATTTTTATAAATGAGTATGTAGAGCTTCATATCACAGCTGTTGTCATTTAAAGTTTGGACAGCATCATTACAAATGAAGCCCTGCTGTGAAATCAAAGTCAAAAAGCATCTTGGCATCCCAACCATTTCCTTGGGAGAAGATTACAGCTCAAGTCTGTTGAACTTTATTGCCTTGGGCCTCATGACAGTCTTCAGAAACATGCAAGGCATTTCTGTTAAAGAAATTCAGATGTGCTGGGACATAGATGACATTCTTGAGCACAGCAGTATCCTAAGGGTTATAAAGAATAGTCAAGAGGGAAAAGATAAACAGTTTTTGCTGTTATTTTATAAGATTTATGGGAATGATGGAGGCCATTAATGATACCATGTAGGAAAAAGTATAGGGTTTTTCTCTGTGGCCTAACTATATTTTAAAATAAAAATCTACATGGCTCCAACATAATGACTTAGCTTCAGAGTCATCTTCCTGTTTGTGTTGGGTGGGTGCTACGATTCAAGGCCTTATGAGTACAAGGCAAGCACTGAAATTCAGTTGATTTTATTATTCTCATTGATTGTTTCTCTTCTCCTCCCCTCCTGTCTCCCAATATGTGTGTGCCTAAAGGAGAGACATTACTAAAATAGTTCCAATAATTACCTCCTTTAGAGCTAAAACTTTAACCTAAAGCCACAGATCTTTCTTTCCAATTTAATATCTATACAACCAATATCCAGAGTCCAACCCAGATCTTCACAGAGAGCATAAAAGAACATGGCAGCCCTCTTGTCTTTTTTATTTCATGATATATATGTATGTGTATGTATTTTCTATATACATATGTGTGTATATATATATATATATATATATATATAAAGAGAACATGTGGTATTTGTTTTTCTGAGTCTGTGCTACCTCAGTTAATATTTTTCAGTTCCATCTGTTATCTTGGAATTTTCACAATTTCATTTTTCTTCATGACCAAATAAAATGCTTACATTACCTGTTCATCAGTCATGAACATTTTAAGCTATTTCTTTTCCTTACAGTTGAGAATAGAGTAGCAATAAACACAGGTTTTGCAAGTATCTGTGGTAAGGTACGGAATACTTTGAGTAAAAGCCTAGGGGTTGTTAAGTATACTAGGTATTAATGGTAGTTCAATTTTTTTGTTGTTGTTTTGTTTTAAGAAAATTACACTGACTTCCTTGTGGTTGTACTAGTTTACCTTCCAACAAACAGTGAATAATGGTTCCTCTTTGCCCACATTCTTTCCAACTTTTGTTATTAAGTTGGTGATAGCCATTCTAACTGGGATGAAATAGAATCTCAAAGTTACCATTTGTATTTCCCTGCTGTCTATGGATGTTGAATGCTTTTTAAAAATACTTCATTTTAGGATTGTTGAGTGTTTTTAAAGATTTATTTATGTGTTTTATCTGATGAAGAGGGTATTTGATCCCATGGGACTACAATTATAGGCAATTGGTAAGCCTCATGTGTGTGCTGGGAATTGAACTCAGAACCTCTGGAAAAGCAGTCAATGCTCTTAAGCGCTAAGCCATTTCTCTAGCTCCAAAATGTATTTTTTAGCCTTCCATGTTTCTTCTTTTGTAAACTGTTCTGATCCTTGCTCTGTTTATGGATTGAGAGTTTGATTTGGGTGTTTTTATTTTTACAGTTCAGATATATACAATCTAGATATAAACCTTCTGTCTAAAATAGAACTGAAAAAGTTCTCTGCTGTCCTATGGACCATCTGTTATTCTGCTGATAATTTCCTTTCCATGAAGTGGCCCTGGAGGTCAGAAGAGGGCATTGAATTCCCTGGAACCAGAATTACAGATAGCATATGGGTGCTGGGAAGCAAATCCAGGTCTATTAACCACTGAACTATCTTTCCAATCCCAGTTCTCAATTCTTGTCTTGGTCTTTTGGGATCCTATCAAGATGTAGATAAGATAGAACATATAGTAATTACAGATGCATACATACAAATATTTTATATGTGTCCTCTGTTTTCAAATCCAATATAGTAGTTGTTTTACTTTTTTTACTTTTCCTCAGCAGCTGTACATTTTATGTTTCTAGTAAGAGTTTTTGATTCTGATCCCTAACAATGCAGTGAGCTTCAGCTTTTGATATAACACTGAGAAAGAAAATGGTACCTCTAATCAATTGTAAAGTGCTCACCAATGTGAAAGGTAGTAAAGCATGTGGGAAAAAATATCTTTGACTCAGTGAAATATATTGGGTATACTGAAAATTCCCTCTAAAGTTTTCTGATTTATTAAAACACATTTTAACACAGATTCTAAAAGTAAAATAGCTGCTCATCAGTAAAACATAAAAGCCATATCCTTCCCAATGTGTTTATACTTTGTTTCTAAATTAATGTGCTTCAGGAACAATATTTTTTCCTGGACTTACCCAGCTATGCCTTAGTAACAACCTGGAATAAAATGAAAAGTTTCACAGGACAGTGACAATAAAGCCCAAACCTGCTATGTCTTACACTTTTGATTCTGATAAAGATTCTAATATTCATTTGCCCTTGTTTTCTTTAAGGATTGTTCAAGTTTAGAGGAATATAACATTGCTGCAGCACTACTCCCTCTGACCAGTGCTTTCTATAGGGTAAGTTTGCTTGGTACATACATAAACTTGTTATGATTTACATATCTGTGTTTTATTTGATTTCTCATGGCATTTTGTGAGTCTGTCCCCTTATTATACTAAGGACTTATGGGTAAGTTCACCCTGCCACAAAAGTAAGTCTTATGAGACCAGGACATTATTAACATACACTTAATGAATGAATGACATCCATGGAGACAACATAGAATTTATAGTCAATTTTCTGGACTGTCCAAAGTGAATGTTTGAAGAGGTTGGGAGGGTTTCTTTGTAGCTTTGGAGCCTGTTCTGGAACTAACTCTTGTAGACCAGGCTGGCCTTGAACTCACAGCCAAAGTGATTTTTTTTAATTCTTTACTTCAGTATAGCTCTACTGTTCATGCCATCACATAAAATATTAGCCCTGATTTTTTTATAATATTATTTTGCCTGCTCATGTATGTGTGGGGGCAGATAAGTGAGCAAGTAAACTCATACCACGGTATGCAGAAGACAGCTTGCAAGGGTTGATTCTCTGTCCTTCCACCATGTCAGTTCTGAGGGTTGACCTCAGGTCATAAGGCTTGGGGGGCAAGCATCTTTACCCACTGAACCACTGAACCATCTAAGAGTTCCTAGCTCTTAGAACAAACCAATCTAGCAAGTTCTCTTTATTGTCTTTCTCTTATTAAAAAAAAAAAAAACTGGCTCTAGAGAAATTCCCAAGAATCCACAAGGATGACCCCAGCTAAGATCGTAAGCAATAGAGAAGGGACCCAATCTTGACTTGCCCTATAGTCAGACTGATGAATATCTTAAATATCACCATAGAACCTTCATCCAGCAACTGATGAAGACAGAAGCAGAGACCCACAGTGGAGCTCTGGACTGAGCTCAAAGTCCAGTTGAAGAGTGGGACGAATGATAATATGAGCTAGAGGTCAAGACCATGATGGGTTCACTGAAAGAAACAGTCTACCTGAGCTAATGGGAGCTTACCAGCTCCAGCTGGACTGGGAAGAAACAAGCATAGGACCAAACTAGTCCCTCTGAATGTGGATGACAGTTACATTGCTGGGGCAGACTGAGGGGCCACTGGCAGTGGCACCATGATTTATCCCTACCGCATGTACTGGCTTTTTGGGAACCTATTTGCTTTGGTGGATGTCTTGCTCAGCCTAGATATAGTAGGGAGGGCCTTGGACCTTCCCCAAAGCAATGTGCCTTAACCTCTCAGAGGATTGGATGGGGGTGGGGTGGGGGGTGGGGTGGGAGGGTGTGTGGAGGGAATGGGAGGAGGGAAGGGAGTGGGAACTTGAATTGGTATATATAATGAAAAAAGATAGTTTTTCTTTTTAAAAAAATAAATTAAAAAAGAGTTAAAAAAACAAAACAAACTTCACATGCTGGATAATACATTTAGTGCATCTTTATAAAAAGCAGTAAGAAGCAAACGGTGGGAACATCTGACTTACTTTTGAGCCATCTGCTTCAGGAGGCAGCAAGCTAACACGTTCAGCTAATGCTGTTTTCTTCGCATTGTCAGACTTAATAATAAAAACTTATGCTTTGAGATATATATATATATATATGTAACTCAAATATATATATATAGTAAATATATATATATATATATATATATATATTTGCTTTTACTTTAGGGTCAATTATCAAAGTTCCAGTAGGAACCAGAAGCTTATTTATCAGTCATTTGAAAAGGGAAAATTGTTTGTTGGGTTTTGGTTTTAGGGGGGTAGTTAAGGCAAGGTCTATGTAACCTTGTCTGACCTGGAAGACCAAACTCTCCTCAAACTCATGAGATCTGCCTACGTCTACTTACCATGTGCTGGGATTAAAAGTATACATCACAATACCTAACTCAAAGAAGTTTAAATGCAAGGAACAATTGATAATTAACTACTAAAATAAAGAGAATTCTAAAATATGCAAGAATGGAATACAAGGAGCAGCTACTATTTATAGAGCTAAGTCTGAATGCCCAAGAAAGAAGTAGACTTGGAGGAGGGCCTTTCCTCAGTCTTGCTAAGAAGGTGTTGCTATGGCCAATGCAGCATAGATGCACCCAGCAAGTAGGTAACTGGAAACTACCTGCTGCTGTGCTGGTAAGACTTACTTGGATTTCTGTCTACTAGAATGGCACTGGGCTTCCAAGGTCCAGTGAAGTTTCACTACTGAAACTTCATGGATACTGAACTTTTCACAGGTAGGAGCAAAAAAAAAAAAAACAGTCTCCAGATGTAGGTAGAAGTTTCTGTCCTGCAGATTGCTCAACAAATAACCATACAGAGGCTTAATATTAATTATAAATGCTCAGTCAATAGCTCAGGTTTGTTAACTCTTAAATTTAAATTAACCCATATTTCTTCTATGCTTTGCCACATGGCTTGGTACCTTTTCTCATTAGGGCATGCTCATCTTGCTTCTCTCTGTATCTGCTTGTGATTTCTCTCACTCTGCCCTTCTTCCCAGCATTCTCTGTTTGATTCTCCCCCTACCTTTATCCTGTCCAGCAATTGGCCAGTCAGCTTCTTTATTAAACCAGTCACAGCAACATATATTCACACAGTGTAAAGGAATATTCCACATCCAGAAGCAGAGAAAGAAGCCGCTCCTACTGCAGTGTCCCTTAGCATCTTTATTAATAATCCTTAATATTCCCATTGGCAAAGGAAAGATATTTAGAAGATTTATTTCCAGGGTCCCAAAGCAGGGCTAAGAGATGGTTTTAGGAGGAAGAGTGCAGAGTGGTCAAGGAAGGTGAATCACACAGATTGTTGGATATTTTCTCAATATGCATCTTTGGGGAATTATTTCTAGTGCATAACATTTTTAATGCAGGAAGTAGATGTAAATTGCTTTATCCTGGCCACAAATTGAAGTGAGCCAGCATATTTCACAGCCAGTGTAAACTCTTGGGATTTGCTCACCACTGCCTTATGGAGTAGACTCAACTGATTTATATTTTTTTAATTTAACTTTTATAAGTTCTTTGAAATTTTTATACAGCATGTATGTTCATATTCACCCCACAATTCTTCCTGGACCCACCTAACTTTTTGACCTTCTAAAAAGCAAAACAAAATTTCTACTGCCCAAATGTCCTTGGATGTGTGGTCTTTTACTGGAGCATGGTCTCCTTACCAGGGGCTACATTCTTAAGAGAAATTGTCTCTCCCTCTTCCAGCAGTTATCAATTGTCAATTACTTCATGACTAGGGATAGGGTTTTGTGCCCAACTTTATTTTCATGCTGGGATTTGGACTGGTTTGGCCTTGCACAGGTCTTGTACAGCTCTCACAACTGCTGTGAGTTCAACAGCCCTGCTGTGTCCAAAAAGCACTGCTTTTCTTGTAGTCATCCAGTGCCTCTGGCTCTCTGATTCTTTTTGCCCCCTTTGCCACAATGATTCCTGAGTCTTGGGGTGGTGCTGTATATATGCAGTCTCATATTTTCTGCACCTTGACTAGTAACGACCCATCTCCTGCAAGAAGCTTCTCAGATGAAGATTGAGAGATACATTGATTTATGAGTACAATAATAAGTCATTAGGAGTCTGTTTAGTACTGTGTCCGTTTAGTAGAATTATGGTAGCAGATTCTCCCCATAGCCTTTGACTTGTCCGTCCACAGGGTTTCAGTACTGTAATGTGGCTAGTTATGGATTTCATCTTGTGGCACACTAATTTCAATCAAAAAGTAGTTAGTTAATTCTTATTTTAAAATAGTTGTATAAGTTTTCTTTTTTTTTTTTTACTTGATGTAATAAAACTTTATTGGGGGCCAGAGAGATGGCTCAGCAGTTAAGACTACTGGGTATTCTTCCTTAGGACTTAGGCTCAATTTCCAGCACCCACATGGTGGCTCACAACTGTCTGTAACTTCAGTTCTTGGGGATCTGACACCCTTACACAGACATGCATGCAGGCAGAATACCAATGCACATAAAATAGAAAGAAAGTAATCATTTTTTAAAAATTTACTCCTAAAAAAACTTTATCAAGCCATCTTAACATATAAAATTACTATACTAGGCAATGTATGAAGCTGTGCCATTGATAGTATGTTAGATGGCCTTAAGAAACTTAATTTGAGCCGGACGATGGTGGCGCACGCCTTTAATCCCAGCACTTGGGAGGCAGAGGCAGGCGGATCTCTGTGAGTTCGAGACCAGCCTGGTCTACAGAGCTAGTTCCATGACAGGCTCCAAAGCCACAGAGAAACCCTGTCTCGAAAAACCAAAAAAAAAAAAAAGAAAGAAAGAAACTTAATTTGATAGTCTGGCTAATATAACAGTGATTTTTAAAAAAAAATTAGTCTCATCCATAACGCAACCAAACCATTGGCATTTTCTCAAATAAATGTAGCATATATACCTGTTTAGAACATTGAAATGGGGGGGGGGGCTTGTGAAATTATAAAGGCAGTTGCCACCAAGTCTAATGACCTGAGTCCACCTACATGATAAAAAGACAGAGCCAGCTCCTGTGATTGTCATTTGACCTCCATACATGCACCCTTACACACATGTACAGAACACATGCATACACACCAACCAAATAAGTAAATGTAAAAAATAATTTAAATAAAGTTCAAATGTTATTTAAAAAAAGTATAAAATCTCTCTTTTTTTTCCCAGTTTCTTGCTATTCTCCAGTTGCTTTCTTAAGGAAGAATGTCATTTTTTATTTATTTGTTTTTGTTGAAAAAAAAATTCTGCCTCCTCCCTGTTTCCCATTTCCCTCCCCCTTCTCCCACTCCTCTCCCCTCCCCCTACTCCCCTCCCCCTACTCCATTCCCCCTCCCTCTTGAGTCTGAAGAGCACTCCGGATTCCCTGCCCTGTGGGAAGTCCAAGGTCCTCCCCCTTCTATCCAGGTCCAGGAAGGTGAGCATCCAAACAGGCTAGGCTCCCACAAAGCCAGTTCATGCAGTAGGATCAAAACCCAGTGCCATTGTCCTTGGCTTCTCATCAGCCCTCATTGTTCGCCATGCTCAGAGAGTCC